TCCTGATCCCGCCATCTAACCTCCCTTTCCCGATCCCGGCGCCCCTCCTCTCGATCTCCCCCTTTCCCTCACTTCCTGATCCCGACCTCCCATCTCGCCCTCCAATCACACTCGTCCCCGACCTTGTCCTACCCCAATCCTGAGCTCCTGCCACGTCATCCCATCTTCCCCTTCCCGTTCCGGTCTCCCCGACCACGCCCCACCTTTCCCCACGCGACTCCCCCCCCTGCCCGCGGTAGCGCCACGTCAACCGCTGCGTCCCTCCTCCCCTCCTCCCTGATCCCGACCCCGCTCTGCCTAGCGCCCAACCCCACTACTCTCCCGGCATCCATTCTCGCTAACCCCGCGCCACTTTCTCCCTATTCCCCCCACTAGCGCTTCCACTCCCTGCCCGATCCTGACACTTCCTCCCAACTTAGATCCCCGACTCCCCTTCCGCCTGCACCCCTCGTCCTAGTTGCGCCCTTCCGCTATCCCCCACCCCGACACATCTCCCCCCTGATCGAGGAATCCCGCCACTCCTCCCCAGATCTGCTCCCCCCCGCCCCGCGCTTCTCCTCCCGCCCGACCCCGATTTCCCCCCTGCGCACGTGCGCGCGACCTCCCTCCTCACCTATTCCCCGCTCGCACGCACGTGCACGCCGGGATGTTGGCGGGAGCGGCACATCTGTTAGAAGATAACGCAGGTGTCTTAAGATGAGCTCAACGAGAACAGAGATCTCGTGGGGAGAAAAAGGGCAAAAGCTGATTTGATTTTGGCTTCCAGTATGAATACAAATTGTGAGAGGGTGGCCTACCGACCCTCTAGCGTTTCAGGACTTCAAGCTAGAGGTGTCAGAGAAGCTACCACAGGGATAACTGGCTTGTGCCAATCAAACGTTCACACACCCAGTCATTAAGAGAATAGAATAGACGATATGAAGATCAGAAATGGAATGAACGGAAGTATGAAGATGAAGGATGGACACAAGACTGTATAAGCTGAAGATCTGAAGTGAATGAACAGGAGTATGAACTACCATGAAGCTCTGAAGAGATGAACAGGAGCATACCTTCCCTTTTACTCTGCCTCCTGAATTAACGTGCAAGTGGGCCGTGAGGGCACACGTGGATGTGGGCAGCTGCCGCTCAACCACAATCAACGTGGGCAGCCTTGTGCGTAAGAGGCACAGTAAAAGGGGAGCTGCAAGAACAATGAAAGGGGTACCCCAAGGACAACCAAAAAACTGTCTAATTATAAAATTGCTTTAATATGTTGGACATCTCAAATGCTCTCGTTGTCTGCACTAGGACAAAGACTGCTTTGATTCTGAATCTATTCACCTGGGTGGAATTGGGGCTGTTGTGGGGAAAATCTAAAACACACACACACCATCAGTCAAATGAATCCTGGGCTTACTGTCGGGGTTCAACCTCCTGATGAGTCGGTGAAAGTCCGACGAAACAGTCTGTTCGGCACAGTCATGCTTTTTTTTCATACTTGCGGCGCACAGCACCGGTGCACGCTGCGCTGCGCATGCGCGTGTGCGGTGCACTATGTGCCGGGCAAAGCGCACATGCGCACACGCACGCATGCGGGTTGG